CCTAATAACTTTAGCCATCTTGCTTTGATGACGGGATCAGGATTCTTCGTTTTTAGCACAAGTTTGTACCCTAGTTTAACCGTGTATTCCTGTATGAAGGTACGCTTCTTGATAATTTTCTCCTTGTCTGGTTTCCATGCCCACTCCCCCGGGTCGAACTCTAGGTCTCGAATGGCCGTGTCGATTCTGAAGATCGATTTAGGCCACTCCCCTAACACTCTCACTTTTCTAAGCAGGAAATATTCCATGACTGTGGTTTCTACATCAGCGTTCACAACCAACGGCATGCCCTTCGCTGTGTGCATGATAAGGAAGGAAGTGAAAATTGCTTGGGTGGTCGATCCTTGTTGTAAATGTGAAAATTGAAAAGCTCTAGAGGGTCTGTTTTCTTGAATTTTAACCCCCCATTCTCCACTATTCCATTCCCCTCCCTGTTTCAACATCTCTTTCCACTCTGACGGGACCAGCCCCGTTATATACTGTAGATTGAGGCCTCTTCTGTGACATCCCTTGAGCAGAGTACTCAGCTCCTGCTCAGATATCCAGTCCTTCCTGTCATCGTTCCATAGGTGTCCAATTGTCCAAACCCCATTCTTTACCCAAGAGAGCCACCTATGGTTTAAGAATAGAGGCTGATTGCTCTCGCTCCTCACCCACTCATTACCAAGCAATGGTTGCCTCAATATTTCGTCTTTAGACTTAGGTCTGTTGGATTTCTTAGGCATAATTGTTCTCCAAACCCGGATGAGAGCCGCCCAGTACGGTGAGTGAAGACTATCCGCGTTCTGTGATATTTTCCCTCTGCCTCTCCTCCTCCCTCTTCTCAGCGACCATTCTTTGTTCATTACCCAGAATAGACCAGTCATGTTTCTTGGCGATGGGATCGGGGCTAACGCCCTTATACTGTCCAAGGCGAGATTGTTCCATGCCGTTTCTGGTTTTGTTAGCAACCGAACCACCCATTTAACTTGGAGAGCTTTTGTCTCACATTTCGGCTCTATAATCCCCAGTCCCCCTTGACTTGGCTTCCTTGTAATGTCTCACAAATAGGAAGATCGAGGGAGCAAGCGGGTCCCCTTGCCTAACCGAGCGTGATATACTGTAGCTTTCGGATAGGAAGTTGTTGATCTGTACGCATCCCGAAGCGTCCTTGTATAGGACTTGGACCCATTTCCTGAAGACTGGTCCCACCCCCATACGCTCCATGCTTGCGTCCATAAAGTCCCAATTGACTTGGTTGTAAGCCTTCTCAAAATCAAAAAACAGTATCGCTGTGTTTATCCTCTTTTCTCTGACCTTGCTGGTCGCTTCGTTGAGTGTTAAAACATTGTCCAATATATAGCGACCCGGAATGAAACCTGTTTGATCGATGTGGAAGCATTTGTCTGTTATTCTCGTGATTCTAGTAGATAGGGCCTTGGCCAAAATCTTACATGGTAATGTGAGTAACGAAATAAGTCTGTAGTTTTTAATGTCCTCCCTTTCCCCCTTCTTATACAGCAGTGTAACCACGCTGCTGCTGATTAAATTTCCCAGGCCACCTTTTTCAAAACTGTCCTGGTAGAAATTCAAGAGGTCCCCCCCTAGAACTGGCCAGAATTTTTCCCAAAACTCTTTTGTTAGGCCGTCAATCCCTGGTGCCTTATCGATGTTCATGCTTTTGAGGGCTTGTAGCAGCTCTTCTTTTGTGAGGGTGTCCATTTCTGCAGCTTGTTCCGCAGAGATTGTTTGTTCCAGGTACTGTAGCATCCGCTGTCTCGCTTCCACGGTGGCATTCAGTGTTGGAGATCGGGTCTTTGTGTGATATAATACCTGATAAAATTCTTTGGCGACTTCTATAATTTCTTCACTGCTGTCCACTATTTTTGTTGAGTTGGATAGGGTTCTCATCTTGTTTATTGTGGAAGCCCTCATATTCGCCTTGATTCGTGCAAAAAAATGCTTCGTCATCGACTCGTTGAGTTCGTGATCGCACATTCTAGCTTTTATTTGTAAACCTTTTAGCTCCCACCATCTCCACATAGCAAGTTCCTCGCGGGCTTTCTCAAAGATATTAGTGTAAAGTGGTGAGGATGGATCATCACGTAAGTTGAGTTCCGTAGGCCAGACTTTCTTGGTGCGCTGATTACTGAGTTTGGGCTTGCGGATGATGTTACTCGCTCTTTGGTGGAAGCCTATCACGAGGATCCGTTTATGGCTAAGATCATACGCAGACTCGAGGCGAAGGACAAAGGGACTTCTCCCGAGTTTGAGTTGGTCAACGGTCTGCTGTTCCTTGAGAAGGCCGGGAATAAACGATTGCGTGCGCCTAATCGGGAGTCTTTGCGTAGTTTATTTTTTAGGAGAGTGTCATGATGCCACAGGACATTTTGGATACAAGAAGACTGCATCTAACTTGCTGCAGCAGTTCTGGTGGCCCACAATGATGAAAGATGCCAAGTTGTACGTGGAGACTTGTCAGGTATGTTAGAGAGACAAGCCACGTACACAGGCCCCTCTTGGGCTTCTCAAGCCCCTTCCGATACCGGAAAGGCCCGGTGAGAGCCTGTCCATGGATTTCATGGACACACTGGTCACCAGCAAGAGTGGAATCAGATATGTCTATGTCATTGTGGATAGGTTTAGCAAGTATGCTAGGTTAGTCGCACTGTCGGCAACAGCCAAAACTGAGTACGTGATCAAGCTATTCAAAGAAAACTGGGTCAGGGATTTTGGTCTGCCAAAGTCTACCATTAGTGATCGGGATGTGCGATTCACCAGTGAGTTGTGGAAGGCTGCAGCTGCAGAACAGGGTACACAGTTGCAGATGACCTCCGGGAACCACCCAGAGGCAAACGGAGAAGCAGAGCAGCTGAACCGTGCTGTTCAACACCTGCTGAGGCATTATATCAAGCCCAATCAGGTGGACTGGGATGAGAAACTTGCTCTCATCACCAGCCTGTACAACAACGTTGTGCACAGCGCCACTGGGGTGAGCCCTAACAGTCTGCTACTAACTTTCAAGCCTAGACTACCACTGGACTTCCTACTACCTTAGAATCAGCCTTCTGCTGCACCAGGCACCTTGGAGTTTGCATATCGATATGAGCGCCTCATGTTGTCGAGCAGATGCACAGGGCGCAGGCGGCGATGATAGAGTCTGAGAACAAACACCGCCGCCCATCTACATTCCAGGTAGGGAACAGAGTCTGGGTCAAGTCCTCAGAATTGGGACAAGAGCACGAGATATCCCGCAAGCTCATGCCACAGTACTTTGGACCCTGGGTGGTTCTAGATATCGTTGGGGATGATCCGGATGGACCGTCATACGTAATTCAGATCCCTGGTCACCTTCGGACTTACCCCGTCTTTCATGCCTCCAAACTTGCACCTTCCAAGGAAACTGATCAGTTTCCCCCACGACGCTCAATGCTGCCCCCAACCATGGATGGAGAGGTCGACATCAACCACATTGTGAATCACAGAGAATTGCCAGCTCCAAGACCAACCGGCAGGGGACGTCCTCCTAAGCCGAAGCTGCAATATCGCGTTCGGTTCAGACATCACACTGACCCCAAGGAGGATAGATGGTTTACCCGGGAGGAATTGATGCAGACCGCTCCACAGGTTGTCGCCCACTACAAGAAGTTGCTGCAGAAAGGAAAGCGCCAGATTGAATGAACTTCTCTGAGGACTAGCGAAGTATGGAGGAGGGAATGTGAGGCACAAGACCTCAGTGAGCCCTACTGGGCCCTGTTATCAGCAAGGTTGGCCGCCCGAAGCCTATTTTGGACTACCACGCAACTGGGGGAAAATTCAGGCAGTTGCGTAGCGCCAGTTGGTTGAAAGCGCCCAGGCCCAGGCTGCCTTTATCGTATGTAACTGAGGCAGGCCCTGGGCCAGATACGCAACATGGACCGAACATAGGCCACGGCCAGTTGGGCACCAGTAACCACCACAAGCCCTGGGCCTGATTCGTCTGGACAGAGGCACAGCCTCTCGGGTCCTACCGGAAGCTTCCGGGGCCGGGGCTCAGGGCAGCTTGGCCGCACGCAGCAGGCAGGCCACTTCCATTTAGGAATGGGCCTGCCTCCAGATTGGGCATTCGGGCACTGGCTGCATGCTGCGCAAGCACTGCTGCGCTAAACGCTGGCCAGGCTTACGCGCTCACAGGTGAGCAGGGAGAGGCAGGCAGCCATAGCCGAGCTGCGCTGCATAGCTGGAGGGGGGGCATGGTGGTCCTTGGGTGCACGTGGCATCTGTGAGTGGGGGATTGAGGTTGTTAGTGATACGAGAGACATACCTGGTGCTTGAGGCAAACGGCATTGGCCGAGATCTGCTCCTACTTCGGGGAGCTGTTGACGTCACCAGCGGCATTGTAGATAGGCCATAGATAGGATCTGCCATTTGTAGTCTGGGCGCAGAGCGCCTGATAGGATGTCGACATTGGTTCTTTGCTGATGATGATGAGACTATTCGAACATTGTCACATATGAGCTTTTGCTATGCTCTTATTTGGTGGGACTCGTGTTGCAATTCTGCTTTTGGTTCGAGGTCAAGACTATCTGGTCTCATGTGTATGATGCTGCTTGGTTTCTGAAGTTCGCTATCGCTCATTTTCCTTGCACATGCAGTCCAACCATTACGAAGTTAAGAAATTTAGAAATGCCTTTTTGAAATTTTTTCCCTTGCTTCTTCTTGAAGCGTGTTCTAACATTAGTTTTTTTTTGAAAAGGTAGTGCTCTCAAGGACGAAATACCTTGTCTATAGATGCCTTGGTCGCCGGGTCAATATCAATGCCCATTGTCTTCCGATACTCTGCAAGTCGCTGCTGTATTCTCTGGTTTTTTGTAGCCATCTCCTCATCGCTGATCAATTTCTCACCTGGCTTGATTGTTCGTCCCCCTCCGTACTGGCAATCACAGATTTACCAGCCAAATTACAGAATCAATGGTCACACACACACACACACACACACACACACACACACACACACACACCAAAAACAAAAAACAGAAAACAAAAAACAGAAAACAAAAAACAAAAAAACAAAAAACAGAAAACTTGAAAAAAGAAGAAGAAGACAAGGTGACTCCCGGACACAACATATCGGTCCAACCTTTACTCGATTCATCACAGATTCACCAAGCAAATCATAGAATCAGATCTCTGAATGGCAGACAGGGCAACAGATCGGCTGACCATGCGACCATTCCAATACCACACACAATGCCTACATACAACCCGGGAAGAAAAAAAGAAAACAGTTGAGGTGCTGCGTCCAGGTCCCAATCTCCCAAGACTCCCCACCAACATCTCCGGCATGACCTTAGCCTCAAAGGTGTTGTTTCTTTACCTCAAAAATTATCATTCCTTTTGGGGGTGGGGGGGGAACAAGGAGCAGGGAAAAAAAAAAAACAAAAAAAAACATAGCAAGAGCACCTGCGATGCAGCCGGTATCCCTTTGTCCAAGTCCTACAACAATAGTCGATCAGTGATCAGTCCACGCTTACAACCATGTCCCACTTGGCTACAGAGTTGTACCAGACGAGCATGAACCTGGTCCACCATTTCGGTCATCTTCATGCTACCTTTAGTTCAGCACATTCATCATGTCCATAATCTTATCCTGAGTGTCCCAAGTCCCAAACCTTTCCCTTTGTCCCGCACCAGCCAAAACCCAGGTCCACAAAATTGAACCCACCAAGGTACCAACTAGATACTTGCAAAACATGCGTTCTACCACTTGAACTACGCCCCCGACAGAACGGAGGAAATAGGATTTGAATTTTGAACCCATCATACAATCTTGTTGTATGTTGATTTAGCAAACCAATGCCTTCAGCCACTCAGCCATACCTCCCGGGAAAAACAGGATTGACCCCGCGACTTCTGGCGTGACAGACCAGCATGCATCTGTGCAGGTGCACCCATGATTAGTATTGATTACCAACTGTCATGTGTGCTCTCCTTCCATTTTCCCCCCTGCGCAAAATGCATATCAATCGTGAAGGTATACAAACCATAAATCCAGTCAGATACAGGCATATTGAGGGTGTGTTGTGTTCGAGGCAAGGCGCGAGTGACAGCCAACACACACCGTCCCTGGCTAACCTGACAACATTCAGAGAGTTGACTAAGGGCATAATATTCGCACTACGACTTTCCTGGACGCATCTTACCGCAGTAATGACCCGATTCAGATGAGAAAGTCCTAGTGGGAGTATGCCCTCAGTCAATATAGTCAATGCCGCGGAAGGAACTTCGTGGATAGGAGTTGTGAAATTGTGAATTGCCATCACATGACCACAACAAGTAAATATGTAAGGAGTCTGTAGCTCCCAACATCATTGTTTCAATCTGGTTACATCAGGATTCAAACTAGTGATTTGCCTATTAACAGTTTCACGTATTGTTTCAATCTGGTTACATCAGGATTCAAACNATTGTTTCAATCTGGTTACATCAGGATTCAAACTAGTGATTTGCCTATTAACAGTTTCACGTATTGTTTCAATCTGGTTACATCAGGATTCAAACTCGTGATTTGCTTATTAACAGTTTCATGTATTGTTTCAATCTGGTTACATCAGGATTCAAACT